TTGGCTAACCAAAGCTCACTGATGCATTCCAGTGACGATTGATGATAATTCTCTAATGTACGTGGAACAATTGATATTGCCAGATTTATGACACCTATTAGCATCAGAACAAGAAACGTTGAACTCGATGCTTTTATTACAGGATGTTGATTGAAATAGCATGTAAAAGTTATTAGTGCAAGACATAACATTGTACAAGTGATACTTCCTCCAATCATGCCAATTAGAGTCGAACGATATATTTTGATTACAGGACGCATTGGCAAATCGAGCGGTTTCGTCTCAGTACCGCCCGTATACATGATTTTGACATGCGGTAAATAGTTAACTTGACCGTCAAGAGTAATTGAACCAATTTTAACTATTTGATCATGTTGAAAATTGACAATATCAAATGAAGCTAGGCAATCTCCGTTTTGATCAACACTAATGTTACCACTAACACCGACAAATGTGACATTTTTCAATATTGCAAGGTATAATTCACGATTCTCCATTTGCGTCGGATCCAAATTCAGCACCTCAATCATGTAATGCAAAGCATGGGCAAACATAAAGCAAGCATCATAGGCAAAATTAGCGATGGGAGAAATCGAATCCCGAACTACTGTCGATGTTTCCGGATCATAGGGTGCTGTAGACCATCGTTTGGCATATTCCTTATAAACACTTGAATTTACATCGGCAAAGTTTTGTAAACCGATAAATCCTTGTGACCATTGATAATAGTGCTGAATCGTTTGACCCATCGAATCCAAATATAACGCCTTATTCATACTTTCATGTATACCAATCCATTGATATCCGGGACCGGTGAGGCCCTCTATTAAACTATTATTTATAACTACTTGTTGATCGTCTATTGTTCCAAAGAATAGAATAATTTGTGCTTGGCATTGTTTTATAGCTTTCATTTGTGTCATGAGATTAGTAGTACCTGTTGCAAACGATGTTGATACGAGAATCCTTATGTTCAGTTTTTGTGCCTCTGCAAGGAATACCTGAACATCATGAAACGTTTGCGTATTAGTTGTATGAATTAATGCGATATTTTTCCAGCCTTGGCTTACTATTAAATGTGCCAATAATACTGATTCTACATATTGATTTGGTGTCGTGCGCAGAAAATAGGGATAACGAATTGAATGGAACTCGGTAAATTCTGATGATGTTGAACCATAAGAAATCTGAGGAACTTTGTAATAACGACTCACATATTGAACGGACTAAATTAGCATAGTGTGATGAAAGAAAAATTACTTGCTATGTGCACTTTTTACCTCTGATACGACCGAAAGATAGTCGCCGACGATACCAATGACATTTCCGTATACACATTGCCAGAATGCAGCTATTACACCAGTACTAGCATCGGTGTCTGTGTTATTGCTAACAAAGTTCAAGTTTGTTCTAGGTAAAAGATCTGAGCGATTGTTAATATCACGAATGGCTAATTTAAACGCAAATAATGCTGGATGTCCACCGACTTGTGCATTACTATTTGATAAATTGGTAGGACCAAGAAATCCTAGAGTTAACGATGATGGCACTGTTTGAACATCGTAAATAATATATAAGAAGAAAATTATCTGCTGATATAATAATGGCATCATCTGTAGTCACCCAATAGATTGAAGAGTAATCAAAGAGTAAGATTCATTCATAATCGATCAATCATTTTGACATACACATTCTCTAAGAAAAAGAAATGTAGAATAAAATGCAAATATTCAATACAATTCTTACTTCCAGTAGATACAAATAAAATTAGCATAAAAAATGATTAATATTGGATAAGAAATCTCTCAGTTATAAAAATTTTCTCTGTTCTGTATAGTCGTTTGGGTTAATTATGAACAGCGGAACTAAACTTCATCGTATTTTGACTATTTTTTCAGCCATTTCATATCAGATAAAGACTATATCTCAGACGTCCCCATGTCACAAAAACCGGATCAGTTTTAGCAGTAAACCGCGGTTCGCCATTAAAAAAACCGGTTAGCCGATAGGAAGCCGGTAATCGGACCGGTAAAACCGCGGTTAACCGCCGGTTTTTATCACATGGGTAGATAGTCCCAAGTGTTCTTTATCTAATGATGCAAAGGTTTTCGAAGAAATGGTTTGCTTAAACTATTAGAAAAACAATGAGAGCTCCTCTTAAATGTCTATAATTATCTAACGGAGAGTATCATAACAACTAAAGCAAAAATTACTGGCATCAAATTTTCATAGCCTTCAGTTTATCAGAGGTCTTGTATTTTTAAATATAAAACATACGATTCGAAAGTAGAAGAGATATTCTCTAATATCTGAAAAATACTCGGCGATTAATGTGGAACCTGAGACACACTTTTAGCAAGACTGCAAGCCATCGAGCCTTGTGCTTTCGTTTCAAAATCAACCTGAAGCAATAATGGACAACCTATGTAAAAAAAATTTCTTCAATAATCATGAAATAGTCGAATTTTAATAGACTATACGGTTTTAATCAAGAATTTAAAAAGAAATAATCACAAAAAATCATTCTGAAATCGATTATTTCCATTGATTTCGATTATAATTGATTTAGCAATGATGTTTCATGAGTACTCCTACCTAAATTCTTGATTAAACTTGTATGTTTATAATGGATTAAAAATCGATTATTTTGTGATTACTAAAAATTTTTTTCATGAGAACCCACCAAATTTCGCTAGAATAACTTTGCTAACTTGTTCGTTCCGCTTTTCTCTCTCTCTCTCTCTCTGCGAAAAATAAGTCAGACTGCCTTTTTTCGACGCTGACTAGTTAAGCGACTAAAAATCTGTTATTTTGTTATAACTGGTTTCTCTCAGGAAAATTCCCTAAATTCAACACAAGAGGAAATAAAATATGACTATTTCTCCGTATGGATGAATAGTTCTGGTTCAGAGTAAATGTTTTTTCTTGTGGATGAATAGTTCTGGTGCATGTTAAATAGTTCCGCTTTAGAGTAAATGTTATTGTTTGTGGATGAATAGTTCTGATGCATATTTAATAGTTCCGTTGTAGAGTAAATGTTATTGCTTACGAATGAATAGTTCTACTTTATCACAGTCAAGGCGATGAAACTCGCCAGTTTGTGTGTGGAGTTTATCGAGCTATCATGATGTTAATATTTCATTTCAGCAACAAGTCTTCCGATGGTACCAATTGCAATTCAAAGTTCATAAGAAAAAGCATTGTCGCCAAGCTGAATCTACACTGTTGCCAAAACTGGATTTTATAAGTTTAGGTGTGAGGTTTTAGGGATTGCACGCGGGTTTCACTTGGCTTAGGTACTGAGCAAAGAGTTGGAGAACCTATGGTTTCATAAGTAGATGTTAATCAAAACCACTAATTCCATGGAAGTTTATGAAAATTAACAGGTTGATCGTAGTTATATTGATGGGGATCGTACAGGATTTAACACGATAACGTGTAGGTATCAAAGTTTCAGCGGACATGTTCGAATATTCGTATTGTGTTAATGTGTCATAATCGATGTAAAAATATTTCATGACATCTGCAGGTGTTACTGTATGCACACTTCTGATGTGTATATGGCTATCGCGTAATGCTTTTGTTTTGCATTTGTTTCTGATAAGTATGCATCTATGACCTTTCTTTTAGACCCCAACCGGTCAATGACCAATTTTTGGATGTGAGACGAGTTCCAATCAAATACTAACATTACGTACTGGGTCTGTATTTTATGATGTTTTTATCTGTGTTTATGCATGGCGAAGGTTTTTTCATGAATTCATGCATTAGGTGTGATTAAACGATGGTGTAGGTGTGAATGTGTGGATCGATATTTTTCTCCTTTAATTTCCTACAATAACATCGGTTTGATTTATGGAAATCGTGGCGAGTACTCAAAAGCACTTTCATTTGTCAAAAAGTCACCGCATATCTGGTAAATATCTTTAGTTTCAACGCATCCGCATATCGAATCACCCTCAAGAAACATTGAACGTGTGGCGGAGAAATGGTTGACACTTTCATTGCTACAATAAATAAATTTCGTTTACCACTTGCTGATTTTAATTAAAATTTTTCGTCTTCTTACAAAAAATTCTATTGACGCGCGAGCGGCTAGATAGTAGCCCGAACTCTGTTCGGATAATACAGTGAACAATGCCAGCAACAATTAGCCAACCGTACATGTGTCCATGTGGTGTGTACGAGAAGAGGCCGACAGGAATCTACATGAATGTCAAACCACTTCTCTGTGTACTCCTGACCACTGTTTGCGTTGTCTGCCTTGTTGATCTTCTTTATCTCTTTGTGTTCAAATAAAAATATCAAAAATCTTGTGATTATCCTCAAAGACAAGTAAACATTCTAATTCTTGCTATATGTCTAGTAGATAGAAGATATTTTGAGCCATATATAATGCAAAGGAAATAAACATGAAAAATCTAAAATTTTTCTGTCGAAAAAAGGAAATGTTACTTTCAATTCAGTTGTGCTTCAGACTAGTCCTGCAGTAAACTTTAATTTTGTGTGTATATGTATGACACGATGCACTAGAAGGAAGCGACAATATCAAAGTATCTGTCACGATTTGTTGACACAAAATATAAGTCGACAATTCTATCCTCACACTTCAGTATTCCTTGTAGATCCTGTTTCATCAAAGTTTAATTTACTTGTCTAATAATAATAAAAGAATATACCTGAAATAGCACATGTATCACAATGAACCTGTCACTATGATTTTAGATAAATCATACAAGCCTTGTCATACACATGCAAATGATTGAATCTCATTTTTAATAGATTTTAAAATTCATAAGTACTTTCAAGAGTTCACAGATAATCTAAAGTTGGCATGTCTAATAGATTTTCTATAAAGTATTTCGAAATTCATGTAAATTCTTATGCCTTAACTCTATTATTCTTTGTACTGATGCTGCTTAAATAAGAAAATATACACACAAAAAAGCAAAACAAATGTATAGGAAAAGAAAAAAAACTGAAAAAAAAACAGGTAAATGTCACTCGGTTGATTCGTCTTCGTCGTCTAATCCAAATAGTCCTTCAGGACGTCGTAATCGATAAAATGATGTTAACATGCGAAACATAAAAGTAGCTGGTACAGTTATTGTACTCGATGTTTCTTCCATCATTGCATGATTACGTTTTATTGTACGTGTGATAAGTTCACTATCATCAATTGGTGTTTCAGCCAATGGTGAAAATAATTTTATATTACTAGAAAAGGATAAAACATTATTACAAATTATTGTTTTTAAAAGAAATGTCAGCGCAGCTCGTTTGGAATTAAAATGTGCAACTTACAAATATTTTTTTAGCTTCATTATACTAATACAAAATACGTTATGTGAAAATTTTCTAGCAGACTAGAATTGTTTTTCAAGAATAGTCGATCACCAAAGAAATAAAGTGTCTGATTTATTTCTGCATTTAAAACAAAACTTTTCTCTCTGTTTTACTGATGCTCTATTTTTTTTGTTTGCATCGTTGCTATTTGTTCGTTATTCTTCATGTTCTTATTCCATTTTAATTAATTTAATATTATTATCATTCAAACTATTGATTTAACTGGCAAAGATGTCTGTTGTACATATTCATTTTGTATTTCGATAGACTTAGAGAAACGGATGTGCATCACTCCTATCATCCTTAACATCTTGAATATAAATTTTTTATCGACGCGAAAACCCAAAACGAAACTATTTATAAAATATGCAAATAATTTAAATTTTGAGGAAGTCTTTGGAATGTTCTAGAATAGCCTAGGCCCTGTTGTGAATGCTGTTTTCCGCTGCTAAGGACCTCTGAGGAAGGAGTCTGACGGCGATTATCTTCAGTTACTATAGAAACATACCCAATGGCTATGGGTTTTTCTTTTCGTTTGTTGCTCGGAAAAATATACTCATTAGAAAGAATTATATTTTCTCTCGTAAAACAATGAGAGTTCCACAAAAAAAAACAGATCTTACTAATCAATTCCACTTGATGCTAATATCGGATAATCAAGTGGATGGGGTTGTACACAATTGACAACATGTTCATCAGCTGGTATTATTCGTACAAGATTACTTGTAAATTTATTCCAAATAAATATATGTCTAAAATAAAAATTAATTTTTCTTTCTATTTTTTTTTATAGAAAATCTTTACCCGCAATCTGAGCCAGACAAAACATATGAATCAGACCAAAAATTAGCTTCTTTAATCATTGTACGAGCATTACGATGACCATCATAAGAATTAATTAAACCTAAACTGGGAACATTTTTTAAAACATTTTCTTCATGACGACGTTCAGCTTCACGACGTTTCACTATACGATCCCATTTTGAAGCCATTAATGGACGACGAGCACGTCCAGATGACGGAGCATTATCTGTTGTTGTGGACGATGATGGTTGAGAATTTTCATCATCTTCCTAAAATACACACAAAGAGAACAAAGACGAACAATCATATATATTCAAATGAAAGAAAGCTTTCAAAATCTTACATGTCCATCTTCATCATCCATACTATTTTCATCATCATCATCATCATCATCATCGTCATCGTCATCGTCATCGTCATCTTCTGGATTATTAGTTCGACGATTTCTTCCAAATAAAACATCAAAAAATCCAACTCGCTAAAAATAAAGAAATTAAAAATAAAAATAAATATTCTAATTAATTAATTAATACTAACATCTCGACTGCTCTCTGATTCATTATTACTTGTTGTTGTGCTTGCTGAACTTTCATTAGATGTAGGTGATGGCGGTAATTGCACAATGGGAACAGTTGCTGTTGTTGACGTAGATTCACTTTGTGTATTTGCTTCAGTAACAATCGGTGTTGAATTATTATTATTATCATTATTATTATTATCATTATTATTATTATCATTATTATTGGTAGTTACTGTTGGCTCTCTTTCTTCATTTCCTGTTTCACTAGGAGCAACTAATTGTGTTAAAATATCACTCATACGTTGCATAAAAATATTTTGTAAATTACGACTTCTAGATGTTGATTGTTGTTGTTGTTCACCTGAATTATTATCTGATGGTTGTTGTTCAGTATGATTGTTATTATTATTATTATTATTATTATTATTGTTATTATTATTATTATTATGATTATTATTATTGTTATTATTATTATTATTATTATTATTATTGTTATTATTATTATTATTATTATTATTATTATTATTATTATTATTATTAGAAGTAGTATTAGTAGATGATGATTCTGATTCTTGGTCATTCATTGGACGAGAATCAGGACCTTCAGATGGAGGAAAAAAGTAAAAAAGACCTTGATTGAATAACATAAAATTTACCTGTGTCACTCCAATCCCCTCGAAGACGTAATCGTTTAAAATTAGATGTCTTTTTTTCTTCTGTTGTAGACGATTCATTTGATGTTGATTTATTATTATCATTTGTATTTGTTCTTGTTCGTTTTTCATTACGATGTTGTGCAAGACGTTCTTGAGTTTGTTCTTGTGTAATTGATTGTTTTGGATTAAGTAAATAGAGAGATTCAGATGAATATGATGTTAATATTTCTGTACCATGTTGATTAAATACAACAGATGTTATACGTGGTGGACGTTTTTCTTTACGATCCATTAATACAAAACGAGATATAAGACCATTTATTGATGCTTCACCTCGACGTGGTGTTGATGTATCAGATGATGATTGTGTAGAAAGTTTTCGATGATCATAAAGACGAACTGACTAGAACAATTAAAATGAAATCATTTAAATGAAAGATATAAATCTACGATTTTGTGTAATTCTCAAGCATCAAAATTCATGGCCTTCTATTCTGAGAAGTTACTATGTTTTATTCACGTTGGTGACTTTCATTTGAAAATACTCTTTTCCTTGAAGATATAGGATATATGTACTCATTGTTAACTTGATTAAATCATAAGAATATTTTCTATTTAAATAGTAGATGTTCTCTTTTTTTGTTGTATTGGCTTTTGTTGCGTCAGTTAGATGGAAAATAATTAGAAAATAACATAAGTCAAAAAAGGTTGCCGACTTTTACCTGAAATGGTGGAGATTTAATGAGTTTTTTATGAATGTCTATACAAGGTCTCATCAATGTTTCAAATCTCTGAGCTTATACATCTCTCCCAGCAATATAAGATCCCTCGTGATTAATTTATTCCTTACAAAATTGCAAGTTTAATAAGTATATTCACGTCGAAATATGCCTAGTTATCAGAGATCTTAGCTGAAAATCCCTTTTATAAATTCTCGCAATCGTTTTGGTTCCCTGAAAAACTCTTTTAATTAAAATCTATGAAAATGAGCAAGACATTATAGAAGATGCGAAGCTTGCTATTGTGGGTAGGACATCTAAACTTATATAATCTCTAAAGGATATTTATTTTTTTTCAGGATTTATTCAATATGTATGTACACATCACAGTATCTTTTTATCTACTACGTATAGTATATCGCTTGTTGATTGTTTTTTCTGCCATACATATTAGTAACGCTTTCTCTTTTTGTTATTCCATATACATACACACACATATATTCTCTTCTGGGAAGTTTTCTAGTTCTTATGCTATCTTATTCTCCTTAGTTTCTTATTCTTCTTAGTTTCTTGTTCTACTTTTATTAAGTTATTGTTATTAATAAACCTGAACTTATGTACATAAAGTTAATAAAACATGTAAAATTCCTACGTTTTCAACCATTCATATCGCAGACAAAATAAAAAGAAGAACTATTAGGAGATCGTGCTAGTTTAGGTATTCTCCACTTATAAACAAAATATAAGTTCAGAAGCTACAAGCTTTGTTGAAACTAAAGCTATTTTCTAGTAATTTGTCATCTAACTAAAACAATAAAAGTCGATTAAGAAATAAATTCTCTTTCAAGAAACACGATTAATTATTCATATATATTCTTTATGATAATTCACAATACTTACTGAATCCGAACAAGCACAAACAATTTCATTTGGATTCATTGGATTAATATCAATTGATGTAATACCCCATTTACTTCTTATGACAATATCATCATTACAATGAGCTTTTAAACAATTACTTTTTGTTCTTAAGTCATATAATCGTACTGTACAATCATCTAAATTTATAATTTAAATAATAAAAATACAAAAATATATTTATTTAAAATATTTACCAGAACATGAAAAAAATAAATTTGGTGTATGTGGAATAATTCTTACTTCATATGCTGTTGCTGCACCATGACAAGTAAAACATCCATCATTACTATGTGAATTACTTGGTCGATCAAAATTTGTATGAAATATAATTCCATCACCTGAACATGAAACAACTCTACGATCATTTGTTTCAGGTAGAAATTTTGCTGAAAAAATATTTTCTCTATGACCACTATGTACACTTGTTAAAATTTTTGTCGTATATGGATCTGTTACAATTAAATGTTGATCATCAGATCCTGATAATATTGTTGTACCATGTTCATTCCAACATATTGTATTTACACAGCCTCGATGAACATTTAATGTACGACCTAATTTAAGTCGTCGTGTTATTGATGAAGAATTTTTTAATTTAACTAATAAACGTCGATGAGAAAGAAGACCATATTGACGATCGGATAAATAGGGCATCTGAAAAAAAAGAAGTCCTCTAATATCTTCGTTTTCTTTGCTCTTTGTTATTGAATAAATGAAACCAAAAGAAAAACCAAATAAACAAAAAATTGACCTAGAAGAAAAAAAAATTATATTTAACCAAAAATACGCCATCGTGTTTTAGGTGATAATTGTTGTTGTACTGTATCCGCTATTTGAGCATATGAACGCATTTCATTTAAATTTTTACCAAGACCAGCTAATGCAAGTGGTTTACTAAATATTCGTCGTGCTATTTCATAAATATCATTAACTTGAATACGTTCTATACGATTAAAATAATAATCAGCTTGTTGACGTTTTCCAACGGAAAGAACTTGTCGTGCAATATCTTCAAAAACAACAGGACGTTGTTCTAAATTCATAAAAAGCATTGATTGTAATTGTTTTTTAGCACGTTCAAGTTCCACGGATCCTGGTCGTTCAGAAACAAGAAAACCAATTTCACGTATAGCAACATCAACCATGTTACGAAGATATGATGGTTCACCACCAAAATGAAAATATAAACATCCGGAATCAGAATATGCTTGATTATATGATATAGCTGTTTTGATTTGTTCATGTCTAGATTGAATATAAAGGATTCTTGTTTTTTTTGTTTGCGTTTATTTATGTTGATGAAAATTACCTGTTGAGAACATTCAAATAAAAACGTGAATAAAGTCCTTTACCTGGACCACCAGCACTGAATGAACCACCACCACCTAATAACTGACTTAATACACAAGCCGAAACAAATTCATGTTCTTCTTTATGAGATGGAGCTGTTGAAAAAATAGATAAGCAAGCAAAAAAAAAGTTTCATAAATCTTTACCTTCAAACCCAAGTGCTATATGAACATTTTCCGGTAATGGATCAGCACCAAATGATAAATGACTTAGATCACGTTCTTCCTATTAAAAAAAAAGCCATTAAAAATTTAATTAAAATTATCAAGAAACTAGAACAGCTATTTTTTACTAAGATAATACACTGATATTATTTTCAGAGTAAAGATGTACGGAATCAACTTTAGTTCCATTCCAGGACTACAAGAAAAAAGTTATGATAGACACAACTGAAGATTATAGTCAAATATTCTATAGTTTTAAACGAGTTATCAATCAGAACATATGTCAAAAGAGATGATCATAAAAAGTACTAGTCGTCGACTAAATAAATATAAAAACAAATATTGAAGAGTATTTTAAGATCTGATATCAATAAATTTTGGAATAGTTTTCTGTAGTGCGAAACCAAAAAGTGGGTCCTGCACATCTCTATTCCCGATTCGACAAAAAAAATAAACTAAGGTAGATTATACAAAAAACTTAAATGTATTTCAATATAGAATTCATGAGAAGATGACAAATTGGTACTACGATAATTAATGGCATGTTTGACAGAAGCATGATTCCTATTTCACATCCCGTAAACTTTCATTTGAAGATACGTGATTCAATCGTATAAAGCATCGCACAAGGATGACGATGACATGTGAAACATGAAGATATATTCTATGGAATGAATTATTAGATCATTTTGCTGGTAAACGATAATTGAATATTACCATCCACAACTTCGAATTTATCGCATTGTTACGAAAAAACAAAAACTATATTCAGTGCCCGATAGAAAAGTCACAACAGAACGAAGCTGTAAAATAAGCCGAAATTCTAGTCGAGACCACGTGCATTTTGTCGAATCAAATGAGTTTTGAATATCCTGAAAAACAGTTCAGATTCTTAGCTTATTTTTGCCAAAAGTATTACACTTTTAGAGACAGTCCATGATGAGAATAGGTTCTTGTGAATATTTCAAATCTTGTCGTGGTTCCTATTTTAAGATACAGCTATGGTAACAAAATATATTTTATATCATTCATATATACCGGTAGATTCGGTGTTCTTATTTCAGGATAGAAGCAAATCGAAAGACTTGACACTTGTACAATCAACAATTCTCATTACGTTCTACCTTTATCCAAAAGCGATTTATCGATTGGGAGAACTTTCCTCGTTACTTATTTCTCTCTAATGTCAAGAAATTTCTTGTTTGCCAACTTTATTTTTTAGAATTGTAATTAATTATCGTAGATCCAGATTTTATGCCTAGAAGTATTTGATTTTAGTTTTTCGATCATTGCAATAGCATTGAAATTGAAAAAATGTTGTGCTATATTAAATATGTAAAAAATCTCATTACCATAACAACTCCACCAGTCCATTTAGCTTTATTATCTTCATTAGTTTTTTGATCAACATTCTTATCATCATTTTTTGGCATCGCAAAATATTTTTTTCCTAAATCAACAAGTTGTTGATGATCAATACCAACACCGGCAAGTACCATGCGTTCTGGTCGATAAAATTCTTTCGTAAATGATCTTAACATTGATGCATCTATTCGAGAAACATTGTCTAAGGGTGTATATTTTGGTAAACCTAAGGTTTTATTTCCATAGCCAGCCTAACATTAACAAAAAAAAAATAAGAATACTTTCACTTATAAACTGCAAGAAAAATCATATACTGCATGTATCATATCAGTTAAAATTGGAGTTGGATCATATCGTCGATTTTTTAAATCGTCTATTTCATTGAGAACAGCTGCTTGTGCAGATTGAATCTGTACATTAAAAAAACTATAACATACAAAAAACAACAGAAAAATGTTGATTACTTCTTCGGGTAAAAATTTCGGACGAAACATTGTTTCAGAAAGTAATTCAACAACACGTTCAACACCAGTTGTTCGACATGATAATGCATAGATTATAATATCTCTATAAACATTAATCGCATAAATTTGAAAAAAAAGATGAGGTATTTTTTTTTATTTACCTTGATGTTTGACAATCACATATAGCATTTACATCATGTAATGTTTCGACAATTTGCTCACGACTTCCATATTTATTAGTCGACTAAAATAAAATTTCCAATTTCACAAGAAAAAACATACCAAATTAATTTTCTTTTACCATAAAAGCTAATTTTTCAAGGAAATGTGAAACACCACTAAGATATTTGCCTTCGAATCGAGGCCCCGCAGAAACAATCACTATAATAAATTTCAATAATAAAATAAATAAATGAAAAAATTCCACTAATACCTCCAACTGTACAAAAGTCACCAAAAAGTTTTTCCGAAGCAACCTGTTAGAGAACAAAAACTTCAATAAATAATTTGTTCCAATTAGAAATATAAATACAAACTCGAAGACCATTCTCAAGTGTTGTTACGTTTGTATCATATCGATTTGCTTCTGGTACAGCATATTTTACTGGTGGTAACCATGATGGTGATTTTGATAAAGCAGGAAAATTATAAACTGTTGGAAATGTTGAATCACGTCCAAGACTTGTTGTACGAGATATATCATCTTTTGATGAATTTTCAGTATGACGCAATCTAATTAGAAAAATAAACTAATTGAAGGCTTACATCAAACTAATTTACCTTCGAAATAGATTTGGTGATGATTGTCGACAAAGAATACGGACAGCTTTTAACATATTGATCGTTGAAATACAGGTGACTCTGTATAATAGTTCTGCGCAAATCTAGAATTAGGATATTTTTCGATTGGTAAAAAAGATAGACGAATACTTACATATGTAAATAATTATTCTAGTGTTTTACAGCGACGTCTATCTGAATGGCATTCTATATCAGAAATAAATAACCCTGGATGAATGTAGCATTATTGATACGTTAGGGCCTAGATATATATACATATAGAAGAATGAATTGTCTTTTATGAATAACATCGAGTATTTTCTTCAGATGATGTCTACTTCACAAATCATCCAATGTGAAGTAAAGAATAAGATCGAATGCAAATATAAATTAAAAAAAAAACGTTTGTAATTAATCTCAACCATTAGAGTTCTTAATGTTGTAGGCTCATCAAATTATAAGAGAAGCACTCATATGAGCTAAGAGTTTTGTCCTATGGATCGTATCGCGTATTATTACTGTAAACTAATTTTTCATCAAAAATAAAGATTTGATTTAGGACTTTCATTAGATCTTTTCTGTCGTTCAAAGCATGAAAATTGTCTCGTTCTTCTCTTTCACAAAGAAATTTTGATTTAATGTAGGAAATAAAACGAATGTTCATGATAATGCATAATTTAAACCAATGTAGTAAGCTAAACTATCTCTAAGAAAAATTTTAAGTAGATCTGTGACATATGGTATAAGTTAGAATGACAAGAAAATTTTCTCAGATGGTTTCTACCGACTTCAATGACCTTTTTAGCTTATTGATGCTGTACACTATCTATTGAAAAACTTTAAGAGGCTTCGATTTCGTATGAAGACTTGAAGGAACTATTAAATTTTTAATATTTCTACTAACATAAGATCACTAACAGATCCAATTCTTTCAGAAAAACTTTGTTTTTGAATTTTGTCTTGAAATTGGTTTCATTTCAAGGTTTCGTATGTAGTAGTTCGCATAAAAAGTTTCAGAGTTTGTACATATCGTATCCATTAATAGAAGCTTTTCAAAATAATCTGTTGTTTTTCATTGCGATTCGAGCAGCAGCTGTTGTTGAAATGTTAATAACTCAGAGATACTATGTCGGCAAACTGAGGAACTCGCTATACAAGCTACTGTATATGAAACCTTCAAATCTAGATAATGTTAATAGGAGCTCGAATCCTATTAAAGTTTTTCAATAGATATTATGCAGTATCTATCAACAAAAAAGATCATTAAAATTGATAAGAGGCATCTCGTGGACGAATTCTGAAGCAGAAACCATGGCCTTGCTTGGATCAAAGTTTAGTAATCCATCAACCGACTTTCATAGGGTCCAGCTCAGTTCATAGAGAGCTCTGTCATGAATATAAAATGCGTCTAATAATAATTGAGGAGGATTTTTCGATGGCATTTTTCCTATTTTTTCTTGACCTATAAAGCCAAAATTCTTTCTAGCTAAGATTAATGTCCCAATGCATAAACTAGATTAAAATGCATGAA